ACAAACAGTCAGCACATTCGCGCCTTGGCACCCACGTCATTGTTGACGCTCTTGTAGTAAATTGTTCCTGAGCGGTTCAGTTCTGCAGCTCTTTTTATCTTCTCCAACATCAGATTAAAGAAGTCACATGAAAGGAAGTCGCCCTGTTTCAAACCCCGTTTTGTGGCGAACGGCTCGAAGAGGTCTTTCCCAATTCTGACGGAGCTGGTGGTATTGCTCAACGTCATTTTACACAGCCGTATGAGTTTTGAGGCGATGCCAAATTCAGACATAGCGGCGTATAGGCAACACCTTTTAGCGCTGTCAAGAGCGGCTTTAAAGTCGACAAATAGGTGGTGAGTGTCGATCATTTTCTCGCGGGTCTTTCCAAGAATTGGCGTATTGTGGATACCTGGTCTGTGGTGGATTTGCCAGGTCTAAAGCCACACTGATAAGGCCCAATCAGTTCATTTACGGTGGGCTTCAGTGTTTCACACAATACGCTCGATAAGACCATGTAACCTATGCTTAGCTCCAGCGGCTTTGTTGTTTTTCAGCCGCGTTATTGCTATACGTACCTCGTCATAGTCAGGTGGTGGAATGTCAACTCCGTCGTCATCGACTTCAGGCTCGGGTTCTTCTCCTCCGCAACTTTCCGTGCTGCTACCATTTAGTAGGGCGGTAAAGGGTTCCCTCCATAATTCTAGTACGCTCTGGACATCAGTTACTAGGTCGCCATTATTGTTCTTACAGGAGTAAGTAAGTCGCCTAACCTTTCGGGCATTCTTCCTGTTTGCCAGCATTTCAAGCTCTTCGCACTCACGTATTTCGGCCTCTCTCTTCTTATTGCGGCAAATATGTGTCGCTTCCCTCTTCAGATCCCTATAGCGGTCGCACATAGCGCGCGTTGCGCCCGATCGCAGCGTGGCCCTGTAGGCGGCATCTTTTTTCCCTGCAGCTTCCTGACACTCCTCATCGTACCAGTTGTTCTTTCGGGCTCGCTGAAATCCGACTACTTCTTCGGCGGCGGTACTTAATGAGCGGAAAATGTGGTTCCACTGCTCGCATATGTCGATTTGTTGAAGAGTGCTCTCTGAGAGTGATGAGTGTTGTATAGCGCGAGCACAATCCGCAGTAGCAATGTTTTATTTTTCTTGGTGAATTAAGCCATCCAAGTACTGCAAACGACTTTGGACCACTCCAGGTCCATTCACAGCAGGAGATGAAATATGCGTTTTTACGTAAGCTTTTGTTTTCGCTGATACATTTTCGATAGGGTTGAGCATTGGCGAGTATAGCCCAAGATGGAAAAGTGTAGCCGATCCATTATTGGCGACAACTTGCCCCAGTCCAGCATGGCAGAGTGCATTGTCGCACATAATTACTAAGTCCGACAAATTATTTCCCAAACCCGTCCACCTCCCGAGGATCCCCTTCACCTACTCTCCATCACTCTCTTTTTTAAAAAAGCCGCGTCGCATTTCCATCGATAACACACCTGATACGCTTACAGCACCGATCAAATGTGCGTTTGGTCATCTTGATGTCGGCAATAGTACTGCTGCTCGCGTCCCAGAAGTTAAAATTGCTTTCATCCGTGCAAACTATTTGCTTTCCTTGCTCAATAAAACCACTCAAAGCTCTTACAAACTCGGAACGTTTCTGCTTATTTTCGAACGTGTTCATCGTCGCTGGTGTATGGTGCCACTTGTGAATGTGAATGATTTACCCTCTCAGGGCCGGTTGTTCAATGTCTGGTTATTACTACTTTCCGGTTAAACATCATTATCGATGTTTTCGACATCATGCATATAACATGTGATCGATAAATCAGTAGTTGTATTTAACCGGAGCTTCTACCTTCGATTAGTGCTAATCAGAAATTGAACAACCGTCCTTAAGTAGTTTGCCGCGGTCGATGTGCAAATATGTTTGTTAAACTCCATTTTCACTATGGAGGCTAACTGCTTTAAGGTGAGAGTATCGTCCACTTCCACCCAGGGAACCATTACATCATCGTTTTCAGTCAGCTTCTTTTCATTCCCTCCACCTCGTTTTTTAGTCCCGACTCTGCCAGATTGCACCCATGTGTAAACAGTTTTATAAACTATAACTAAAGATGCTGCTAAACTGTACCAGTCATATCCCTTATTAGCGGCCTCAACAATCCGCAATCGGTCAACGTTGTTATATTTCCTGTAACGAGTTTTTTCCAGAACCTCCTTATCTGTACACAAAAAATATTCGTATGCATAAATAGGTAAATATAAAATGCTATTTATTTATTTGGATGTATGTAGTATATGTTTTTAAGTTTTATTAAATTATTCTATTAAATATTAATTCAGTATTGCAATAAATTTTACAAACTTCAAATAATTTTATTATAAAACAAGTAAAGAGGTATAAGTTCGGGCGAAATCGAACTTTATATACCCGGCGCACTTATTAAATATCGTTTTTTCACCTTTCAGTAAACTGCATGATAAGCAAGAATATTTTTCCCGATGTCAAACCGTTTCGGTAATATTCTATGATATATTGAAATGATTGGAGCAAGTTTGGTGGAAATCTATATAAACCGGTTACCGAGATACACATATGTAGGCGTAAGTGGGTGGTACTATGCCCATTTTCCCAAAAATTTCCCTAAGTAGCATTTTCTGCTGAGAGGTCATTGTATATATAGATTTTGAGTAAATTGCTTAAATAGTTACTAACTTTTCGAAACTTTCGTATTTCTGTAAATTACCGTTATATGGGAGGTGGGCGTGGTTCTTCTCTGATTTAAAAAATTTTCAAAGGATTTCTTAGTGAGGCACTAAGCAATGTTCGTACCGAGTTGGTTGGGGATTGGTGAAGGTACTGCAGAGATACAGCATTTCACTGTAAGTGGGCGGTGCCACGCCTATTTTTAAAAACAATTCATAACTATCTTATTTTATGCCAAAATTCTACTTCGCGTACCAACTTTCAACAATTTGGATCCAGTATTTACGGAAATATCGTAGTTTTTGCATATTTCGAAAATACCGTTATATGGGAGGTGGGCGCTGTTATTGTCCAATGTCGCCCCTTTTCAATCCCAACCTACCTTGGATAAAGGGAAACTTACTTACAAAATTTCGTGGAAATATCTTAATTTTTTCCCGAGTTATCGTGTACACGGACAGACAGACGGACGGACGGACAGACATGGCTTAATCGATTTCTCTTTTCATTCTGAGCATTGACGTATACATTTGTCCATATCTATCTCGCAAACAAAGTTATAATACCCTTGTGCACAAGTGCGCTCTGGTATAAAAATATAGAAAAAACTGAACAAAAATAAATATATATATTTCGTCACACACGGAACGCTAAATATCCGTGCTCTTAAATAGATTCCTGCTTTCCACCCCGTTGTTGCTTAATTTTCCTGATGTTTGTTAAAACTCCCATTTGAAAATCCATCAATTCTTCTTCACTCATATCTCGTATATATGGTTGAAAAGACAATAGTATCAACTCATGATCGGGTTGAGACTTATTTGAGTATTGCTCAACACATCGCTTTCCTCTTTTCAATTTCCTTCCTACTTCTTGCTCTATATCATCGTCCAACTGTCTTTTCCATTGATGTAAGTTTGAAGCAGACTGCGGTGGCGACAGTGGATCACATAATCCTTCCAAATCACACCTATCATATTCAGTTTCATCCTGACTGAAACTGCTCCCAGCATCATCTTTGTCATCTTGTCTCGATTTCAATAAAAACTGGAGATGCTCGCTGTATATATAGCTTCGCTTTAGTCCTTGATAACGGTTTTTCCTCGAAGATCTTATAAATGAGTCCCTTACATTTGACCATTTGGCAAGAATGACATCACCTGATAAGAAATAAAATAAATAAAATAATAAATCGCTTTTTGTTTGACAAAATATAGATCCCCAGGGAAGTTCAGAATATATTGCGCTGGTACATCCACTCGGAGCAAATATGTCTGCGCCTAAAGGAATTTTGTCTAAATAAGTAGTTTGATTAAATATATTACAAGATTCATAGAAGTCTCTAAACCAATTCAGCTCCATATAAACTCCCAGTGGATGTTATTATCAGAAAGGCCATTGAATCTCAGCCTTAAAATAGAATTTCTGGCCCAAGACTTTGTACTAGGATATAATGATAAGCTAAAGAGGTGGAGTATATTCGATTAATAATGTCCACGATTTAGCTTTCCCTGATTCCATATATACACATTTGATGTTGCTTTTTCTAAGATATTTGCCTTTTTTTTGCCTATTTTACCTTTAAAAAGTTATTATAGGGAGGAAAAAGCCTCTTATTCTGATAATATAAAAGTTTCAAACGTTCCATATTTAAATTGGGTGCCACTTGTATCAACTCACGTGGAACGCACGGTTAATACATCCAAGGCTGAATTAAAGCCTGTTCCGTTACAATGAAGGAGATCGATAGATAAATACATAAGTTATAAGTTATAAGTTATAAGTTATAAGTGGTCGTATGAAAATGCGCAAAGATTTTTTGTATAAACAATTAACAGGAAAGAATGTTACTCATATGCCGTATACGCCTGAAAATACTTCGAAAACGTATCCATATAATAAAAAATTAACTCGACTTTCGGAATCAGTGAGAAATCTATATAGGAATTGGATATGTAGCGGGGTCCGTTGAACATTTTTCCTTTAAAACCAGTGTTGTTTTTAAGTTCTTGTCATTCTTTAGTGCCTTCTTTTGCCTTTTTTGCTATTTCTAGTGCCTTTTCCTGCCTATTTCGCTATTTTATTTTGTCTTTTTTGTAGGTTTTGAGGTCCTAAAAATCCATTCCCTGTCAATAAGTATTTACATAAGACTTCTTGTGATGTCGTATAAAATCAATAACAATGAAAATGAAAAAGCAAATTTAAAAGAAGTGAATATTTCATAAAATTATTGAACTTTTCTCCTGTAATTTTAAGTAGAATGCGTCACACTAATATAATAAAGTATGTAAGTTTGTACCATAGTCACACTTACCTAATTTTTTCTTTCCTATTTGATCCATTTGCTCATATTTCTCTTCCAAACTAGAAAATACTTCCTGCCAACTTTGTTCTCGAATTTGTTTGTTTTTATAATGTTCATTGCCCTTATCCCAAATACAGGGCTTCGATTCCACGAGTTTAATTAATGCTGTGATTTCATATTTGAAAGACGGCATTTTTTTGATTTGCTTTACAAAAAAAAACTACCCTCAAACATTTACTCCTATCGAAAAAAAACACTAATCAACTGTCGGTGACAGAAGCGGTACGACTGCCGCTCTCCGACGCGTTATCGCTACTAACGACACGACACCGGCAAGTCGGTGTTGTGCGAACTTGCTGGTTTATTCTGTACATGCATATATGCAAACACATACATACGTGTGTATAGATTTATGTACTATTTACATGTTTGTATATGAATTAGGGCTATGCGATTAATTGATTACTCAAAAGTTCAGTTACTCGAGTAATCAAGATTTTTATTAACCAAAAACAAAAATATTTGAGTAAGTTGCTTTATGATTAATCAACATTTCGAGTAAAATGAGTAATCAACATTTCAACTCTTTACATATGTATAAAGTAGTTAAATTCCTTGATACTTTGAAAACAACGTTTCTGTTTTCAAAAATTAAAACAAAATTTTTTTTCATATACAGAATGTAAAAAAGAAAACAAGCATTTTCCAAAGCAAACTCTTTTAACGAGCAAAATTATTTTTTTTGAGTAATCATATTTCAAGTAACTCGATTAATCATCGTTTTGAGTAATCAAAATCTTGATTACTCGAGTAATTGATTAACCGAATAATTGATTAACCAACTTGCTCGAGTAATCGAATAATCGCACAGCCCTAATATGAATACACCTAGCTACGAGTACACAAGGACGATATCATTGTCGTTTGCCTTGCCGTGCCGGCACACAGTGGGAAATATCGTACATCGTAGGTACCTGGGACGAATAAAATGCAAATTTCAGACTCTACCTTATATTATAAAACAAATGCACCTAAATGAAAGACTTTACCTAAAAAAGTTCGTTTGTAGTTTTTTATTATTATTTTTATTTACATAAAATATGAATACAAAAGATGGATGTCCTTTAAGCTTGATAAGTTTTTTTTTTTTTTAACTGAGCTTACATCTAGTGTAGTGACAATCGGAAAAACGTTTTCTTTGTCTTATTTTGACCACTGCAGCATATCGGCGAAAAAGACATTTTACTTTAAATTTCAAATATATAAATATAACAAGAATTACGAATTTGGGTATAGCTAACACATGATTTAGATGATTCAAGTACTTGAAAGCAATTCTTTTTCATTCTCTTTTCTATTTGTTTTTACATGGTTCAACTCTGTTGAATTCAAGTTTTTAGTTCTGTAAATGGGAAATAACGAAACTGTCGTAAGCAAAGCAGGATACTTGAATAAAATAAAATAATAATTAATAAAAATCTGTGTTCATATGGTATAGTAGCTTATGTCGGAAAGGCTGGCTTTAGTATAATGCTGCATTCGCAGCATACGATTGCGAATGACTCACTGGCGCCGAGCAGTTGAAGAACTTTTGGTAAATAAACGTGCAGAAATAGTTCCGATACTATTAAGTCTCACCTAGAAATTCCTTGTCGTTTAAAGAATAAAGGGAATGCTGCATTAAACTAAAGCCAGCCTTTCAAAATAAGCTATTATTCCATATGAACACAGAAATGTATCTGATCAAAAGATGATTGTTCCTAAGCAGAAGTGATTGTACCTAATGTACCTTTAAGGCAGCAAACGTCGGAAGAAAGTACAGTGGTACGTACTTTATGTTTGTTTCTCAATAGTACTTCAAGTGGAGGATCATAGTGCTCTCAACAAAAAGGGCATTTTCTTTGTATGAAAAAAGGACTGTTTCTCAAGTTGAGAAAATGCTAGTTCTCAACCTGAACTCTAATGTAATTCTCCAATTGGTCTCAAACATATCATTGAAATACTGAAATTCAAATAGTAAAATACCGTATACCTTTTTGATTGAAACGACATACATATTTAGATGAATTTAAATATTAATTTTTAATTTTATTACTTCTTTTGTATTATGTAGTTAATCAATATCGTATTACAATAATTCACTTCACAGTATACAGTCCGACAGTAATTTTGCCACTTGCCTCACTTCGGTTTTATTTTCTTTCAAGATTATTTGAGGATACTTTGAAGATTATTTACTTTTTGTTGGTACTTTTCCTCTTTATATAGCTTTCGATTTTCGATTTAATTAAAAATTCGATTTTAATTAAAAATTCGTTTCCCTATCAGTTTTTATGTATCTGCGCGTCGGTTAGGGATGAGTTGGGGAATGATGTTGGATATCAACTTGAAAACTATGAATTTCTCCAAGGTTAAAGAAAAATTTTTTTGGTGTTTATTGGGTCTAGTCAAAATAAAGTCTAGCGATCTACAGATCAGAAACTCAAAGATTTTTATTTATTTTTGCTTACTTTTACATATGTATATTACATTTATTAGTGGCATAAAAGTGATGGCCTTCAGTGGTTTGCTAACTAAAATTACTAAGTATGAGCTTCTACTATAGTTGTTTACTATTAAATTTGAGACAGGGTAACCAAGTAAATTTTTTTCTATGCCACTTCATACGTGGTATTGAATTTGGCAGATACGAGGTATTGCGCACCAAGCGACGATATGTTTGTACATACGTGTTGTCTCCATCAATTCAACGCGAAGATTTTTCCTATTAGTCTTTGCATTCAACTCCATATTTTTTTAACCGCTGTCTGCGTACTCGTCTTCGTATTCCTCGCGGTATTCTTCTTAGAATTTATCTTCGTCGTAGTCTTCGTATTCATCGCAGTATTCTATCTCTTATGGGTCCTCCTATTCGAATTCATCTTGATATATGTATGTATGTCTTCGCATTTTTGTTGTCATATTCGAACTCGTCTCCGATATCGTCTTACTATTTGTTTTCGTTTGTTCTTATTCCACCTCTTCTTCGTATTCTAGATGTCATCTTCGTATAAGAAAAAAAATAGTTCCTTCTCATATTACTCAAACAATTTTTTTTAAAGAAACATATCGTTACCTAAACGTCAAAAGGAGCCAAGTCCATATTTGACGAAAAATCGATGTAGTTTCGCATTATCTGTCATTCTGCATCGAAGACTAAATTTAAAAAAAGGGGACTGGCACCTTTAGGTAGCGATATAAACATAAATTAAAACGAAAGTAAACGTCTGGTGCTTAAGAATCTTAAATATTCATTCAGTCTCAAGTCATTGGGGTAGAACGTCCCTCCGATGCTTTTACGAGCGGAGGTATTGAAGTTAAACGAAGTCGTTCCTCTGTTTAATTAACAATTAAATATACTACAGCTTCTTTTGGATATGCTTTGAATCTGGAAAAAAGATAATAAAAGGAAAACCTTCAAAGCATTATCTTTTGCTTACAGGCGATAGCTCTTCTTATTTGGCGCAGTAATCGCTTAAGCGATTCTGACCGGGTTTAACAAAGAACGCCAGTCGTTTCTCTTCTGTGCCAACTAATCCCAATTGGAAATGACAAGTCCTTCTCACTCGATCTTTCCATCGCAGTGGGGGCCTCCCTCTTCCTTTGATACCACCATTGGGTTCCGAGTTGAATACTTTCAGAGCTGGAGCGTCAGTGTCCATTCGAACGACATGACCAAGCCAGCGGTGCCGCTGTATGTTAATTCGCTGCACTATGTCCATCTCGTTGTAAAGCTCATACAGCTTATCGTTCCATCTTCTGCGGTACTCGAAAATCTTACGCAAAATCTTTCTCTCGAAAACTCCAAGAGCCGCCGCTTCGGCTGTGTTCATTGTCCATGCTTCTACGCCATACCCAACACGGGCATAATGAGTGACTTATATGCCTAACGTACTAATTCTGGACATCAGTTACTAGGTCACCAATCTTGTTCTTACAAGAATTCTCCCTGGTCTTGAAACCTTCCGTAAGTGGCCCGACTCTCTGGTAAAATTTTCGGGCGTTTTTCCTATCAGCCAGCATTTCAAGTTCTTTGCATTCACCTATTTCAACTTCTCTCTTCTTATTGCGGCAAATACGTCTCGCTTCCCTCTTCAGCTCCCTATAACGGGCTCCACATGACTCGCGTTGCGCCCTATCGCAGCGTTGTCATGCAGGCGACATCGTATTTTCTCTGCAGCTTGTTCTTTCGGGCTCGCTGAAATCCGACTACTTCTTCGGCGGCGGTACTGAATGAAGGGAAATGTGGTTCTATTGCTCGCCTATGTTGGTTTGTTGAAGAGCGCTCTCTGAGAGCAGATGTGAGGGTCGAGTAGTGAATGCATTGGCCGTCTGTTGCGACTAGAGCTTTTCGCCGTAAAGCTTTACATGCATTTTTGGGCGCACATTTTATGCTGCACAGAGGCGGTTGCATATTTTGGCTGCAAGAAGGTAGTGGTCCGAGTCGATGTTTGGGCCTCGAAGTGTACGTACGTCCAAAACACTGAAGGCGTGCCCTCCGTCTATCACAACAAGATTGATTTGGTTTCTCGTACTTCGATTTGAAGACAGCTAGATGGATATTTTTATGCTTAAACCTAGTACTGCAAACTACCGTTTTTCGGGCCTCAGCGAAGTCGATCTGTCTCAGTCCGTTATCGGACGTTTCGCCGTAGAGGCTGAATTTTCTGACAGTGACGGCAAAGGTTTCTTCCTTGCCCACCTTGGCATTGAAGACGCCAAGCATTTTTTTTTATCTTTGTGGGGGCGCCGGAACGACGGAATTATCCCTTAGCTATCGCCGGGTTCAGGTCGCCTGCACTTCTCTCCTCCTACAAAAAAAAAAAAAAATAATAATTGAACTGAACTTAGCACTAGTACAGATCTTCTTCTTTAAAACTCTTTATTTTAATAATCTAATTTTACTAGCACAGGTTATTTAACTCTACAGCAACTCGCGATAGTTGCCATTCGTATTACAAATTTCGCTTTCAGTTGCGTGAATCTAAATTTAAAAGAAAGAAGAAAAGAAAAAGAAATTGTGCGCCAAAACTTAACCATCTGAAAATGTCAAAATGGCGTAAATTGCAAGTTTTTACTAGTTCTGTGCTCAATAATTTTTTCTGTTAATTTTCTCTTCTTTCAATTTTACTCTCTATTTGTTTTTTACACTCTCGCTGCAAAAGTACTTACTGGAAAAGTTATTGAATGGACCTAGTATAAAACGCTTAATACCAAGAAATATAAAAATGGCAGCATCTGCGACTTAACAGTGCTCTGTCGTTTTTGCTCGTTCGTCTGTGTGTATTAGTTCGATACTTATGCGTGTGTTACTTCCGCTTTCGACAGAAAAACTTTTCTACCCGCATACATGTGCGACTACAGTTAGTCGTTTTGAATGTACAAATGTTTGTATGTGCTGAAGATATTTATTAAATCAGAATCGAACGATTGTCGAACAGTTGTTGATCGTTAAATAAACGAGAAGTTTACTTGTTTGCAATGGCGACTGTGATGATCGTCGACTCTTACTTACACATCCGTACATAAACTCTCAACCAATATTGACAGATTCAAAGTTTTAATTGTAAATTGCAGTTTTTGTACAAACTTAGTTTTTTTAAATAACCTCCTAGTACAAATAAAATTTGCGTTCTTCTCTCGGTTTCTTACGTAAATTTTTTAGATAAAAAAGGGCAGTGAAGATGCAGCGTTTATGCTTTTGAAACCAATGGTTTCGGATGAGCTCTGCATTCCAGCCACCACAGCAAATGTAGTACGAATATTTTTCAAAATCTATTTGAATAGAACGGAAATAAGAAATAAGCTAGAAATTCCAGCACTCTCTGTATTTTGAGAACTCAAGATTTCTTAAAAAAAAGCTTGAGATTGTACTAAATTTGAAGTATCGAATCAAATGAATAAAAAAATTAACAAAGCAAGTTACAGAAACTTATGAACTTTAATTTCGTTAAAACAAGATTTGATTTAAATGTTATAGTAATAAAGTCTGTTTTAATTTAGTTAAATAAAATCTAGACTGTTCATGTTATTTTAATTGAAGTTAATTATTTTTTGTTGTTTATATTTAATAAAATTTAAAACTCTTCATTTTTAAAACTCTTAGTTTTCTTAAGATGACATATTTTTTGGTCCAAAATCCATTTATTTTTGGAAATTTACAGCTTTTGAAAAACAATCTGGCAACACTGATCTCAACTCACAATCGCACACGCTATGCTGCTGATCACGCAATAACGATGCTGATCGCCTTGAACGGCGCAAAAATTTTATTGCTTTTCTTATGAAAACATACTTATGTATGTAAATAAATATCGTCGTTTAAAGTACAAAACCGCGTATACACAAAATGCAAAACCGCGTATCAATATAATGCAAAACCGCGTATGTGAGGTTGCATAAATTATTTTCTGGAGAGTAAAAACACTCATATTTCAAAATGGTTTTCTTTTTTATAAAGCAATCGCATTTCTGGCTAGCATATTTCAGGACGAACGGATAAGGATTAAGCCAAGAGCTCGTGTGAGCAAAAAAAATTTTTAGCAGCCAATGTCAGTTATGCGGTTTTGCAGAATGACGATACGCGGTTTTGTACTTTACACGACGATACGTTTGTGCGCGCGTGTATGCGCGTAATAGTTGTCTGTTGTTTTTGCTGCTATCGGCATTGTTGACAACATTTAGCGCTGGTATTTTATTCGCGCTGTTAATTTTAACCAACTCTGTTTCTATGCATAACTCGGCTATTTGCTGACTAAACTCTGTTGCTGCTGCTGCTTTGTTCAATTTTAGTTCATTAGTTTTAAATTACGAAAACTGAAATTCTGTTGCTCTCAGCGGCTCAATATAGTACAATCCGGAAGATCTACATAGTGCATACATACTTGCATTTACGAAAACCAATCACCATAGAAACATATTACTAGCAGCTGTACTCGTTGCTGGTGGTTTGGATAAGTATGAGTAACAGTGTTGCCAATTTAGCTGTTTTCCGGCTAGAATTAGCCGGTTGCGATAGCAAACAGCCGAATAAAAGTCGATTTAGCCAGCCGCCGATTTGTTAGCCGGTTTGCAAAAGTTAGCCGTCTAAAATCTATTAGAAACTGCTAGCCGTATCTCGGAGAAAATTTTCATGTCGGACTGTGTTAAGTATATAAAATTGAAAAAATTTTCTCTTATCCGAAAAGTTTTAAAATACTGGGCGGATTTTAATGATTTATATTAATATATAGTGACCCAAATATGAACTGGGACGCGATATTTTAGCTTATTATTTTTTTAATGAAAGTATACAAATTCTGTTTTTTTTAATTTAAAATTTTAGTTTAGTGAAGTGCCAATTTAAAGTAGTTGGCAATTACCGTTTATTTTTTGCAATTTTTTGTTGATGGATCCGCATTTTTTCCATATAAAAAAATGTTAGAACATACCTTGTATGGAAAAATTCGTAACACCGTTATAAAAAAATTACTAAAATAAGTCCTGGCTACTTAAAATTTTAATGGACTGCAAAACTGCATACATACCATTTTGTAAAGATGCTGATTAACAAGTTTAAAATTTTGCAAAATTTTCATAATTTTTGCACAAAGTCTGAAATTGAGACTTATGTGGTCATCAGCTATATTTTCATAAAAAAATAATAACCATTAAATAAACTAAAAAAAATCAAATAAGGACGTAGCGGGGACTTTCTTTATACAATTTTTGTTATGAATGGCTTAAATTTAAGTGTAAAGTTTTAGTCGTAACACTTAGAAAATAACGAATGAGAATAAAAGAACACGAGTATAGATGTGAAGCAAAACTCTATGGAAAGACAATACCTGTGAATAATTGTATAATGGTGCCAAAATATTTTATTGTTGCTTATCGTTGCTCTCAGACAGGCATATGAGAGAGTGATTAGGACATTAAAAACTGGAGTTTCGAATATATGGACATCAAAACACAATTAAATAGATGAATTGTTAAAATGAAAATTGTTAAAAGGCGACTGGCTTGTTCGATATAAACT